TGCATCCAGGGACATCTCTAGTCATCCTGATGTGTGTTCTGCCACTGGACATAGATGGCTCCAAAAGAAAAAGTGAGGCTGGTGACTTTGCACAGCCCTCCTTCACTGAAATCCAATTCACTTGCATGTCATGTCATCACTCCCTGATGTCATAGTCCTCTTAGAGTATGAAGCATAAACAACAACAACCAGGATAAACCTGAAATTCATTCCCTCCTTAGCTCTGGCCTTTGGAATCCTTAGCTTCATTCAAGCCTCATCATCTTGGGTATCACCTCCTATAAAAAGCCTTTCCTATCACTGAGCTCAGTCTTTGGTGACTTTTCTTTTCTCAAATTAAATTGAATTTACCTATCTGTGTTAATATTGCATCCTCCAAGTAGAAAATATGCATCTTGAAGATAGAGACCTAGTTTTTTGTTGGGGTAGTTGATTGGTTGGTTTTTGTGTTCTCAGCACCTATGACAATAACTTGCATGCAATAGGAGTTCAAACAATGCTAATGGAATTCAATGAATGACTTGAGTGTCCCCAAGTTTGCATATTTAGGGGACTTGCCTCTTATAAAGCCAAGGAGTAAATTGCAAAGAAAGATCATAAAGATTGATGTTGTATATTCCTGAAACAAGCAGAAGGGACAATGAATGAAATTAGTTATGGAATCATAATGATTTGTTTTGGGGAGGTGAATGCTCAATTGAAATCATAGCAATCAAAACTCAATGCCATCTTTGATCCTTCCCCTTCACTCTTCACCTCCAACCTCTAATCAGTTGCCACATGGCTGTCAATTCCAGCCTTCATGTTGTTGCAGAGGACCTCATCCCCCTGCTTTATTGAGAATGGAAAGGCCATCCTTCTGTGAATTCTATTTTACAATTCAAAATTCCTCTACCCTACCTTCCTCTTGCCTCCTTTGTATCAGTCTTTGATAAAGATGTAGTTGCTTTTGCCAAAGCCAAACTCTGTACTTGTACCCTTTAATTCTTCTTGCCTTCTTTGGGAGATTGTCTCCTTGGTAATCTCCTCTCTTCATTTCACCTTTACTCTCTCCCTATCTACTAGCTCCTTTTCTGCTCCCTACAAATATGCCCATATCCACCAATCCTTAAAAAAAAAATTTCACTTGTCCCTGTCATTCCCTCAAACCATTGTTCCATACTTCTCCTGCCTTTCAACTCTCTATGCTCTTTGCCCCCTTTCCTCAATCCCTTGCAATATGGATTCTGTCTGGACCACTCAACTGAAACTTCTGGTGCCAGGATTACCAATGATTCATTTCTCACTTGCTAAGTCTGATTGCCTTTTTCTCAGATCACATCCTTCTATATCACTTTACAGCTTTTGACACTGTTGACCACCCTATTTTCTTGTACACTCTCTCTTCTCTTGACTATTTCTCAGGTCCCCTCTTTCCTATTTGACTACTACTTCTCAGTATCATTTGCTAACCATAGATTCTCCCGCCTACCCAAGACTCCATGCTGGACATTCTTCTCTTCTTTTTCCTATATCCTCCCTCATGAGTCATCAGCCTTCATGGATTCAATTATAATCTCTATGCAGATGCCTCACATATCTATTCAGTAAATCTTTGCATAGGCTGTCTACCATTTCTGGAATGTATTTCCTACTCATCCCTGCCTCATAGAAACTTTACCTTCCTTTAAGGCTCAGTTTAGATGCCAACTCATATAGGAAACTTTCCCCTATTCACCTAATTGCTAGTAGTCCCTCCTTCCTTTAATTATCTTGTTATCTGTTTAGATGCTGTATTAATAGCAGAATATAATGTCCTTGATGGCAGGGACTTTTTTTCATTTACATTATTGTATTTCCAGTATCTAGCACAATGTCTTGCATGCAGGAAGCACTTAATAAATGTTTCCATATTTCACTAATTTTGTTGGTGTGTGGGTACTCCTTCCACCAACACAGATTTCAACCCAGCTATAGCTTAGTAGATGATTTTTGCAGGTTTCTGTGCTTCTAAATCTACCACCTTGTGGCCAATCTAATGAGGAGTCTCTCTGAATGTAAGTGGCCTGGCTTTGGGCAACAACTAATCTCTGACTTGTACTCAGAGGGTTTCCAGCTTGGTAGAACCCGCCAGAGGTTACAGTCCACTGGCACAGCTTTCCAGAACCCAGGACCTCTTCTGTGCTAAAATAAAGCAGCAGAGGAGGATTTCAGAAAAAGATTGAACTTTTGAACTGGATTACAGAAAACTAGGCATATGCTAATTTGAATAGAACCATGAATCTCAGGGAAGAGTTGCTAGTTCTTTAATCAAATTTTTTTTAAAAAGTTATGACTTCAAGGTGGTAACTGAGGCACTTCAAGATTAAACAATATGCTCCCATTACACATGAAATGAATGACAAAGCTAGAGCTAAAGCTTAGAGCCCTGGAAGTTTTTGCCTATTACTTACCTGATTCTCTACTATCTTTCTGCTGGAAAAAAAAAAGATGTCTCTTTTAAAAAATTATTTTCTTGGGGCTGCTGGGTGGAACAGTGGATAGAGCCCTGGCCCTGGAGTCAGGAGGACCTGAGTTCAAATCTGACACTTACTAACTGTGTGATCCTTGGCAAGTCACCTAACCCTGATTGCCCCCCCCCAAAAAAATCTTTTCTTATGAATTTAAAAATTGTCAACAAAGACAACATTTCAATATGCAAAGAATAAAATTGAGGCCTATATTAAGGAACTATGAACTTCTATTATGTACCACATGAGTTTTTTAAGAGATACGTATATGCGTACATGATACATAACAAAATTGCTCTCCATAAATCTTTTTTTTTTCTTTAAAGGTCCCCTTTACAAATAAAATTACAAGACAAATCAATTTAGGACAAAAAGCACGAAGTACATACAGCTTGAGTTCATTTATTATGATGGTTATTTTTCACCTTAGAAAACATAGGAGTATAAGTTTTGATCCTGTAGAGGACAAGAGAAATTAGAAGCCAGTCTCATTTACTTCCCCAACCATTTGTATTTCATAGGATCGTAGAGTTGTAGGCACAGCACTAGAAGAGAACTCAAACATCATTTATTCCAACCCCTTCATTTTACAGTTGACAAAACTGGACCTAGAGTCGTCAAATGACTTCAAATCCAGCACTCTTTACTTTGTACACTCACAGTTAGCAATAAACCTTTCTTATTTTCTCAATAAAATCTATTTACATTTATAGTATAACAGAAGTCTGAGCCAGATCATGTAGCTGCAGTCTCCAGAGATATCGTATATGTAACATTTGAGTCATTTGGCTCTTATGTCCAAAGTTTTAACAGTAACGATAATGATGATGATGATGATAATGACAATCATAGCAACCATAACAGCAACCACAACCATGATGCACAATAAACAAGTCGAACATTTAAGATGGCCACCAGAGGTCAGGGTATTCCAAGATGCAGAGACAACTCACTTTCCCAATCTTTCTAACTCAACAATAAAGTTGAATACTGTCCCGGAGATATTTTTTCCAGGAAATATTAAGACAAATATTTTCATATTCTTTTACATTGGCAAATATGTTGACATGCAACTTCCAGTTTAATCTTCTCAAACACTAGTTTCATCATCACTGTCCTGCTCAAAAAGTTTTAGTGGCATGAAATCTTAAAATGAGTGGACTGCATTCAGGTGAAAGTGAGTAGACTAGTTTGAGTGTACTGTCCACAAAATCAAATCACAGAATCTCAAAACTGAAAGGTACTCCAGAGGCCATGACAATATGTCAACATCCAGTTTAAGTACTTCAGTGAGGGCAGCCCATTTGAACAACTCTGATTTTTAGGAAGCTTTTCTTTTACTCAAACTTCAATCTGAGTCTTTGTAATTATACTAGTTGCTTTAAATCCTGACCTCTGGGGCCAAGCAGGACAAGTCTAACTTCTCTTTAACATGACAGCCTTTCAAATGCTGTGTGTATCAGGTTGTTATCCTTTTATTCATTTTTTTCTCCAATGTCCTTTCTAGACTGTTATACCCAGAACTAAACACAATATACTACTCATTTTTCTCATTCTGGACCCTATACCTCTCTTACTGTAGGCGAAAATAGCATTACCATTTTTGTTTGACTGTCATGCGTAATTACATTCATGCTGAATCCTAAAAGTGTAATCTACTAAAATTCCTAGTCTTTTTTTTACCTAAACCTTGTCTACTCATACATCCACCATCGTGTTCTTAAATGAAATTAATTTTTGAGCTCAAGTATCAAACTTTACCCTTTACTATATTCAATTCAGTTCATGTTTACAGCTTCCAAAAGTTTTTTTGGATATTGACTCTCATACAGCATCACATACCTGTCCTGCCTGAAAAGTTGACAAGCATGCAATGCTTCCTATGTCACACAGGACCAAAGAAAGATTCACGGAATATTTCCATTGGAGAGCATCCTCCAAGTTGACATCTATTGATTAATGGCTAATTTAGGGGTCTTATGAGTTAAGCCTCTTCGAATTTATGTATTTATATACCCTCACATAGACCACATCTCTACTTTTACAGAAAGACTGCATGAAAGGCATTGTCTGTCTGGGTAGGCTAAGTCTACACAGTATTTCCCTCATCTATAAATCTAGTTGCCCTGTCAAAAAAGGAAACAAGGTTAATCTGACATGAACTGTTCTTGTTGAAGCCACTGTGGCTTTTAGAGATGATCATATTTTTGCTTTCCTTTCTAAATGTGCATAAACTATCCCTTTAATAGTGCACTTGATTTTTGTCAAGAAACAAAGTCAAGTTTGTTAACCTATAATTTGCAGAACCAAACATCATAGCATCATATTCAAACTCCTTCATTATCGGACCTCAATCTATATTTTTAAGTGTTATCTCTTCCAGTCTTGCTTAGTAATAAGAGCCCTTCAGTACACCGAAACTGCTCTATACACTGTCACCTGAATACAGCATGCTCATGTTAAACTTCACATACCTTCTCTTCAGTTTGCCCCACCCTCTCTTCTCTGCCTATCAAAATCCTACACATCCTTCAAGATCCAGTTCAATTGCTGTGAAATCCCACTTCTTCCATGAAATGTTTTCATATACTACAGCAACTTTTGATGGGGGCAGCTTTGAGTGTTCCTCAGGTCACAACATGGAGGAAGCTACCTACTATTAAATCCCACTAGGGTTGGCTTTGAAGAATAGTTATTCAATCCAAGACAATGCTTCTTTAGTTGTTTTTTTCTTCATCAACATTAATCTGAGTTCCAACCAGAAGCAGAAGAATATTCCTGGTATAGTGTAAAAAGCATGTATAGGACTTTTAGCAAATCATTTCACCTCTGTGGGCCTCAGTTTTTTTTTTAATTTGTAAAAGTGGAGGGGACAGTGGGAGAGGAAGAGTGTTCCATTGCTTGCCTTTCTCAGGATGTTCTATGTAGACTTCCAGCTCTAAATCTATTGTTTTATGATCTTTTCTCCTTTTCCCCATCAAGTAGCATAGATAGAAGTGTAAAGTATTTGTTGGGTAGAAAAGTAGTAGACTATCCATTTCATAAGGTACCTTGCATGAATTTTACAACTGTCTCCAAATTAATTAATGGGAGAAATATTTGTACAGGTGTTCCATTTAGGTGCATTCAAATTAACAAAGTGAAAACACATACTTTTACGAAATCATGAAATTCTCAAAAACATTTCCTAAAGGCAGAAATTCTTTGTTTTGGAAAATCAGCAAGCATTAAGTAAAATCTGTCCCCTGTTGAATTCAGAAGTTGTACCGGTCACACACTGATTTAATTTCCCACTTTTCATTTGTTTAATGCTTCCTTAAGAGTTTATCTTCTTTTATAGCACGTGATAAATTCATAAGAAAGTATGTTTACACATTCTCAAAAGCTCTGGGGAATCTGAAAGTAGTTCCCATGATGTCCGATAAAAATGTGTATATTTTTGATATGTTGGAGTTCGGGGGTTTGGGGTTTTTTCTGCATCACATACTCTTCCCCGCTATATCTCTCCCTCAAATTCTCCCAGAAAACCATTCTTTCTAGTACATAATTTAAAAAGAGGAAGACAATAAATTCCGCAAAGCTAATCAATATATCAAAAAAGCTAAGATAGGCAAATGTTTTAAAGTTGTTTGATTACTAATGTTGTGTGAACAGTTTGGGCCTTGGGATGTGTGATTGCATGATTTTCTTTCTCCTTTTTTCAGCCTAAATACATACTACAAATTTTGAATAATTGATGAAGGTATTTATAAGTCAGGAAAAAAATTGTTTATTATTGCTCTTTTTCCGCATGATAATTTATGTATTTTTTAAACTGTATTGTCTTTAAGAAGAATATTTGGGTCCATGTAACTCAGGCTTTAGGGTATAAATACCAATGTAGCAACTTCTAGAAATTTCACCTGGAAAACTCATAGCACTTGAATAGTACAAAAGGATTTTAGAGGTTGTGAAATGAACTAAACTTCTGCTCTGTTCCAACTTGGCTCAGTAATCCTTAATGAAAGACATCTTTCCCCATTTTAGGTTTCTGGTCTTTAGATTATGATTTTCCAATGAGCCCACAAAGTGCTATAGAATAAAAGCATAGTAGGAGAGCATTACTCACATTGGCAATGGTCGAGACAAACAACATGACAACTGTGGCAATGTGGACCACAAAGATCCCGGCCAGTAATACCAACATCTTGTCTGAGTAGATGTCAGTGAAGAGAGCTCTAAAATGAGAGTACAAAAAAAAGTCATTGTAAGATATAAGAAAATGTTTTCAACAAATATTATACACATGGAATCCCAAAGCAGAAAAGGTAGGCATTCCTTCTTTGTAGGCGGCATAAGTGATTGAACACTAAGTTTGAAGTCGAGAAGAACTGAGTTCAAATCCTATCTTAGGAATTATACGACCCTAGATAAGTTGCTTAATCTTTCTTAACCTCAGTTTCCTCATCTGACATAAGAAGGCATTAACTTATTATCTGAGGATGACAAGACATTTACCCAACATGGTTGTTTTGAGGATCAACCAAGATAATATAGATATAACACTTTGCAAACCTTAAAGCATTATGTATTTGTGTGTGTATGTATGCATTTATTATTTTTTATAAATCCCTGAGAACACCATTATTTTATATTTCCAGTAACCTAATTATTTAGTCTATCTCTAACCCAGAGAAGGAGCATAATGTAAAGGATAGAGAAGAGCCAGCCTCAGAGTCAGGAAGATTTGACTGACATTGACACATACTAACAGTATAACTGTCGTAAAGTCCATTAACCCTTGGAAACCTGGAAACCTAAATACCTCAAGCCTTTAGACTAATAATTCTAGACCAGTTGACAATCTGCATCAATAAAAAGAATTCTACACTACAAGCTCCTTACACCAATGAAATTACAGTTCTGGAAATATATGTATCCATACATACATACATCAATGTATATGAGTATGTATATATGTATTGTGTATGTGCCTATATATGTATACATTTACATATGTACATATTTACACATATAAATAACTTTTTCATAAGTATTTGTTATATATATTTAATTTATTAAGCATTTACTATGTGTCAAGTTTTGAAAGGGGGAGGGAGAAAAGGGGCAGAAAATTTTATGTTGATAGAGAATATTTATGCTTTGTTTACATCTGAGGAGATGGAAAAAACATTTTTTTTTAATTTTCAAAAGCATTTTGTATATCTCTAGGCTCATATGCAATAAGTTCCATTTTCCATGGAGATCCAGTATCGTTCCTTTTGGTGTCATAATGTCAGACCCGTAAGGAGCCTCCTCGAAGGACATCCAGTCCAACACTTTAAGGTTGTGCAGATGAGAACTTAGGGAATTTAAGTGGTTTGTCCCAGGTCACATAGGTAGGAAGAATTCAAGATGAGGACTGAGCTTTCTTTCCAATGTTCCATATGTTAGTTGGATATAAATGAAGCAGACATTTACTTCTTCAGTAGCATGGCTCCAGGGCCAGGCAATAATAATAATTAATAATAATATAGCTTTAATAATTGTTATATAAACATATAGCACTTACCATGTGCCAGGCACTGTGCTAAGTGCTTTAGGTGACCTACCAATATTATTCCTCAGTAAAATACAAAAGTCAAGAGGTATGTCCTCTATTTTTCTACTATTCCAGTTTTTAATAATTATAACTCCACAATGGCAGCTCATACATTTATCACCTATTTTCTTCTAGCATCACTTTGCTCATGCTTTCAGGCTTTGAATGGCTCAGTTCAATGACAGTTGCTGGTTTGGGTACAGAGGACTATGTCTGGGCACCAAATCCTGGCTTACTGGGACTTGGACTGAAGATTTTTGCTAGTATTTACAGACATAAGTGAGAGTAGCATACAAATCTTGAAATTGTGAATGGCTTTTGAAAAGCACAAACTCCAGTCCAGAAAAAAAAAAGTCAGTACAGAGGGCAAGAAGATGGAGAAGTCATAGAAGAATGAAGAAAGGAAAGCTGGCCCAGTGAACTTGCATAGATAGATGAAAGTCTTCATTTGTCAATGGGAGTATAGGTGGTAGTGACAACAAGTCAAAAAAGAAGGCAATAAGTAAATTCTGTTGTGACTTAAAACAGAAGTAGGTAAGGGAATCTGTTCTGGGAATTGTTTGCTGCCAATGAGATGTTTTGCCCTACTCAAAGGAGTTAAAGTACCATGCATGCTTGTATATAGAGGGAGTGAGATATGGTTTCATAGCCTGTACAGGGTGCATGTGCGAATGCCATCAAAAAGGTAGGAATCTCTTATGCACTTGTCCCCCTTTTTTCCTGCTTTCCCTCATTTGATTGAAGCTCTGAGTGTGCCTTAGACATTTTCACTCAGTACAAGGTTTTATTTGATTAGAGGGCTATAGAATTCTAACCTTTTTAAGTTACACTGCTTTATTCTCCAAACCTTCGATTAAGGGTACCTATGCTATTACTGTCCAGGGATAGCAAGCAGTGACTAGATTCTACATTTTCACCATCTCTCCCCATTACCAGACCAGAGTGGTAGCATTCTCCACAATGTAAAATTATTTCCTAGGACTTTGTCCAATTGGATTACGAATGATACAAGCTAGTTTACACTGCTTCCTCCAAGGGAGAAAGAGTTGGTGCCTCCCAGGCCTGTCATTAGCAAATCTTTCCTTATTTTCAGTTTAATTTTTCCTTACTCAGCTCCATTTCATTACTCTAAGGTTTTCTTCTATGATGTAAAGTTCTTTAAACAATTATATTTAAATTTCCACTTGAAATAAGGTAGCTGATACAGTCACTGACTTCTCATTTAGCCCTCAAACCAGTCACTCAGCCACCAGTTTCCTCCATGAGTAAAATGAGAATAACAATAACTGGGCATGTCCTAGTTCCCAAAACTTGTGTGAGCATAAAGGAAACAGTGTGTAGTAAAGCACTTTGGTCCTCTTGGAAATTGGCATTCTGCCCAGTGTTCCCCTTCATGTTAGGGACAGAAGGGAGGTAATAAGCAACATAGTCTCTAAAATGGGAAAGAAAATCCTGACTTCAGCCCAATCTGAGGTCCTGCCCTTCATTCTCTGGCCAAATTTACAAAGTTATACAAAAATATGGTTGATTACACAAAAGATCCAATCCAAGGGATGATTGATTTTTAATTAGTTCTTCTACTTAATCCTCCTAAATCCCCTTAAGGATTTTTTTCCCCTCTTCCTTCATTTACAAACAAATACTTTCCCTCTAAATATTGAAAAGTCTTTCTAAAGGCTTATTCTATTCAAATGTGAATAGAATATTCCAAGTACAACCAAGTATAAATTTCTTCTTGTAGACAAGCTATTCAGAGTACAGTATCCCTTTCTTTCTCCTTTAATTGCTTTGTCTACACGTTAAAGTCATATCTGATTTACTTTTCCCCTTATCACTCTCACTTTCTGTTTTGGTGAACTAAACTTTCCAAAGCATCTCCCTTCCCACTGACCATCCTAATCTATAGCATCTTTAGGTCATGCTCATTCTCAGTTTCCTATATCATTTTTTTATTTAAATCACAATCGCACCTGCTCATTATTCATTCTGGCTGGGGGAGTGGGTGGGGTAATGAAAAAAAGAATCAACTTCCTTTCATCTTAGATTTCTGTGATGCTACCCCATCTTTTCTTCTTTGCAAAGAGAAGAAAGTCATGGAGAATGACCTCTCTTATTTTAACAGAAGAGGGTTTTTTTGGCTGATACATACAGCCAGAAGTGGGTGGGGGTAACCTGGCTAGAGAAGTGACCTGGGTTACCTACAATTTTTTTTTTGCCATCTTTTCTCCTTCATCTAATTGTGTGTGAAATTAAAGTGGACCAGTGTTTTTTTGTTTGTTTTGTTTTGTTTTGTTGTTATTTTTATTAGAGTATATATTGAGGTGGTTATTATTTTTACTGATCTTCTCCCAAACCTTTGAGTCTCTGCCCTGACCCATTGCTTAGTTAGTCAGTCTACTAAAACATACACATGTGCGCGTGCACGCACACACACACACACACACACACACATACAGCAGGAACCACAGTATGTGTGCTGTGGTTTGCCAGAAAGAGGAATAGAAACCTGAGCTTAGATGACCTCTAGCTAAAAGAGAAGACAGCAGTTCAGAGTTACTAGCTGAAATGAGTAGAAATAGATGGTGTCACACTCCATGCTCAGGAACTAAGGCCTAATATTTGTTCATCAGCTTTGGGGAGTGACTTGTTTCCAGTGCTGGCAATTACTGTTAATCCTCAAGACATTTTGAAGATAGTAACTTTTTTATTTTTGCATATCAGAATATGATTATTGTAGCTATTGGTGGGAAACATGGTTATAACTATCAATTTGCCTTACATTATGACTTGTCACATAAGAGTTTGCTTCCCCCTACCACCACCACCACCAATTTTTGTCTTTACAGTAGAAATTTCAAGGATCTCTTCAGTTGCTATTGAAATGCATCAACTCTTGCCAAAGCATGATAACTGAAAACCCTGTAAGTGGAGGGGAACAGTGATACAGTGTGGTTTGATTCTCCTGGCTCTAGTGCTAAGCATAAGGCCTAAGGTAAATCATTTAACCTTGCTAATCCTATTTCTTCATCTACCAAATAGGGGGTTCAGACTAGATGAATTCCAAGACCCCTTCTATTTGTACTGTGACTCTAGGAGAAAGATGAGAAATAGAGATACATAGATAGAGAAAGATAGAAAGACAAATACATATACATATATATGTTATCATTATGTATTTCAATAAGGAAACAATTTACTACTCTATTCTAATGGACTTATTCTTAATCTAGGATATTTATTGGGCTAGAACACTTAATGATCATTCCAGGTATCAGCAGCTGTTACTTTCATTTCTGTCTCTATGTGAGAGTATGGGTATGGACAGAAGAAACACCCTTTACCTCCACCTACCTATAAACTTCATGGACCAGAGTTTAGAGTTGGAAGGAACTCTAGAGTTTATCCAGTCTAACATCTTCATTTTATATTTAAAGAAATATATATTTTATATTTGAAGAAACTAAGGCCAAATAAAGTGAAGTGATTTGCTCACAGTAGCACAGGAATAACCAAGTCGAGATCTGGACACAAGTCCTTTCAACACAAATCCAGTCCTTTTTTCTTTTTTTTTTTCATTACATTGCACTGCCTTTTACTCAGAAAGACTTCCCTCAAAAAAAGCATTGAAACATTGTC